CCCCCCCCCCCAACACACAGGTGTCCTCTTTTTTTGGAACTGGAAATATGGTAACCCTACCTAATATGTATGTTAATACTTGAACAGCTTAGCCATTATAGCAGGATTTCTCTTGCCTCCAATGCCAACGATTCTAACATGCTTGCTCCTCTACAAACCTGTAGTCTCCCTTGAAAGGGTGACCCAGAGGTAGCTGTGTTCAGTTGTGAAGGAGCAGTTGGATAGTGCCTATCCAGTTACTGTTGTCTTAATCTTGATTGATTCCTTTTCTCTCCAGTAGAAAAACAGCTGCATGTTGGAGCCAGTCTGCAGTGTCGACCTTGGAGCACAACGCCTTGCCTTGTCTCTGGACTGGTCCACAGGACGAGAGGAGTGGTGAGGAGGGAAAGGAATTGGGGAGCATGTGAGAGACAGTTCATTACTACCCTGTGCTCAATATGCTTAGAGCTGCTCTTCAGGTATCCTTTTATGCTGATAACTTTTGCTGTAGGGTCTCTGCCTAGGAACTGCTAATAAAAGAAATAGTTCATCAGCATCAGTGTGCTATAGAAGTCTGCTTAGTCTGAGCCTCAACTGGTGTCCCCAGTCATGGGAAAGGTGAGAGATGCTGTTTAGCAGTGATTGCTGATGTCTGCAGAATCTGTTGCAAGAAGTACACTAAAATGTTGGGTAGGCATCATGCTAAGGCTCGGCACTCTATGTGTGGCCTGTAAGTTTTGGAAGAATGAGTGGTGAGGACTGAGTCTAAGCCCAAAGGGAGGTAATCCCAACACGGATCAAAGGGGGCAAGAGGGTGCAAAACCCCCTATGGCTCACCAAAAGCATGCAGGAACATCTCCTAGCTAAAAGGGGGGGGCCATCACCAGGGAGGGCTATACCTCGGTTGCTTGGGGCTGCAGGGGGGGTGATCAGGAAGGCCAAGGTGGAGATGAAACTGGGACTAGCTACCCGGATCAAGGACAACAGGAAGTCCTTTTTTAAATACATAGGAGGTAAAAAGAAGGTACTGGGTAATGTGGGGCCTCTGCAAGACACGCTAGGAAATGTGGTCGTCACACCAGATGACAAAGCTAACCTCTTTAACAATTTCTTTGCCTCCATTTTCCTGAGCAGGGACCAGATCAGCCCCACCCCCCACCAGGACGCCCGCAAGCCCCAGGGGAGGCTCACTCAGGCTTAGGGTCAGTGAGGATCTAGTCGGGGAACTTTTGGAGGGACTGGATGCATTCAAATCAGCTGGTCCTGATGATCTCCACCCCAGTGTGCTGAGGGAATTAGCTGAGGTCATTGCGGGACCCCTGGCACAGCTTTATGAGCACTCATCATGCTCTGGTGTGGTGCCAGAGGACTGGAAAAGGGCCAATGTGGTTCCCATCTTCAAAAAAGGGAGGAAGGAGGACCTAGGAAACTATAGGACCGTTAGTCTTACCTCAGTCCTGGGGAAGCTCTTTGAGAGAATTATCCAGGAGCACACCTGCTAGGGACCGGCAGGGGAGATTATGCTTAGGGGCAACCAACACGGGTTCATTAGAGGCAGGTCCTGTCAGACTAACCTGGTGGCCTTCTATGACCAGGTCACAAAATCCTTAGACGCAGGTGTTGTGGTGGACGTAGTCTTTCTGGACTTTGGGGTGAGACGGTGTGGAAGGCCTTCCTGTTCTCATTAAACAACTAGGGGATTGTCGTTGACATCTACACAGTAAAATGGGTCACCAACTGGCTGGAGGGCCGCACCCAGAGGGTGGTGGTGGATGGGTCACTTTTGACCTCGAGGGATATCAGCAGTGGGGTCCCCCAGGGCTTGGTCCTTGGGCCCACACTGTTCAATATCTTCATCAGTGCCTTGGACGAGGGTGTAAAAAGCGCCCTGTTCAAATTCGCAGACAGCACTTAAGATGTGGGGGGAAAGTGGGCATGCTAGAAGGGAGGAATAGGCTGCAATCAGACCTAGACAGGTTACAGAGGTGGGTGGATGAGAACGGGATGGGTTTCAACACTGACAAGTGCAAGGTGCTGCACCTGGGGAGGAGGAACCAGCACCATACCTACAGGCTGGGGAACTCCCTTCTTGTCAATGCAGAGGCAGAAAAGGATCTTGGAGTCATCATTGACTCCAAGATGAACATGGGCTGGCAGTGTGGGGACACAGTCAGGAAGGCCAACCGCACCTTGTCATGCATCCACAGATGCATCTCAAGCAGGTCCAGGGAGGTGATCCTCCCCCTCTATGCGGCACTGGTCAGGTCGCAGCTGGAGTACTGCATCCAGTTCTGGGCGCTGCACTTCAGGAGGGATGTGGACAACATGGAGAGGGTCCAGAGGAAGGCCACTCTCATGATTGGGGGGCAGCAGGGCAGGCCCTAGGGGGAGAGGGTACGGGACCTGAACCTGTTCAGCCTCCACAAGAGAAAGCTGAGGGGATCTAGTAGCCGTTTACAAACTAGTCGGAGGGGACCAGCAGGCATTGTGGGAGTCCGTTTCCCTGAGCACTACCAGGAGTGACTAGAAATAACGGTCACAAGCTGGAAGAGCGTAGATACAGACTAGATATCAGGAGGTGCTACTTCACGGTCAGGGTGGCTAGGATCTGGAACCAACTTCCAAGAGAAGTGGTGCTGGCTCCTACCCTGGGGGTCTTTAAGAGGAGGCTGGATGAACACTTTGCTGGGATTGTTTGACCCCAGTATTCTTTCCTGCCATGGCAGGGGGTCAGACTTGATGATCTGCTCAGGTCCCTTCCGACCCTAACAACTATGAAGCTGTGGATGGAAGTAGGGCTGACTTAACCTAGTATTGAAGTGCTTGCATCCATTATGCTTTCTCTATGCATGTTACTTAAACAAAACTCTCACTCTGGGATTTTCCTCTCCTTCCTTACCTTTAAAGAAAGAGTAGCTATGATCTGCCTGAAGGAAGGGGGAGCTCTTGGTGCTGCTACTCCTTAATCACTTGGGGAAGCAAAAGGCTGGGGCTAGAAAACAAAGCTGGAGATGTCCTGGTCTGCTCTATGGCTGTCCTAAGGAGTCTCTCAATGCAGCCTTGGAACTTGCTAGTGCCCAAAGACCTATGTTCATGAATCAATTCCAACCCACTGTGAGCTGAGCTTGTGAAGATGACCTTGTCTATTTAGACAGTGAGAGGTAGTTAGCTTTGTTAACGTGAAGTCAGATGGACCGCAGAGTAGGGATGAACTTTATCAGTTAACAGAGTCAGAGATGCATAAGGTTTGATTCAGTTAGTCAGTTTGGTGCACCTCCTGACTTCTGTTTGGACTTTGTTGACTAAAGTTCTCGAGCAGGGGTATGGGGCTTTTGCAAGTGTGCAGAACAGTGTCCGCTCAAGCTCTGCTACTGCAGTTCCTGTCCAGATTTATCTTACTAGGTGAATAATGCAGATTGCATGTGAAACTAGGCTGTAATAAGACTTTAAGTGTGAAAGAGGAGGTGCTGGATGAAAGGTTGGGAAATTTAGATGTTTAAAACTCTAACATGGCCCTATCTTTTTCAGTTCTAGTGGGCACCCACTGAGGGTGATCAGCAGTGATTCAAAGGGGAAGCTCAGTCTACTGTCAGTAGATGAATCTGCTCCTTCTGTGAATGTCCTCAGTCAGTGGAAGGCTCACGACTTTGAGGCCTGGATTGCTGCTTTCAATTACTGGGACACAGAAATCGTGTATTCAGGTCTGTGAGCACCAGGAGGCCTTTGTGGGGAGGAGCAGTTGCTCTAGGAGATGCATGAATGTTTAAAAAGCACCCCTCCAGGGGAACCAGCCTTTGCTTCCTTCCCTTGGCTTGTGCATTGTAATGATGCTTCTGGCTTTGCCAGCATCATGGCATCTTGTAAATGGTGGAACTACAGCTGGAGGAAAAAGTACTTTTTGTGGGGGGTGATTGTAGGTAAAGCTAATCTGCAGAAGTTGGGACCGTTAAGATGTTTCCCCCTCCAAAATATTTGTTGCAAAGGAGGAAGTGTATTGCTTTGTAGCCTGAGCAGGCAACTGCAAGTGAGGGCTCGTGGGTTCTAGTCCCAGCTCAGTGATCAATATGCAGCCTTGGTAACCTGCTTCATGTCCAAGTGTTTGCTTTTCCATTGCAAAGTGGAACCTAATATTAACTTGCCACCCACAGTGGGCTTGTGAGCTTCATCTGATGTTTGCAAAGTACTCAGATCTAGGTAAAAATGCACCAAGTAAATGCATGGAGTAAGCTGTTTGTGGTACATGCAATGGCTTTTCCCTTTATTCTATTGGAAAAGGCATGTTGGGCTGTAGTATATGGTGTGCAACAGTTGTAAGGGTCCTGTGCTCTGCTTTTAGCAGGCTCCTGGGCGGTCAGAATGGTCTCTGCTTCCTAGAATGCAGCTTTTTTGCACTGACTTCCCACATAGCATTCATAAAAAAACAAAAACTATTTTCACCCTGTGCAGGTGGGGATGACTGCTTGCTGAGGGGTTGGGACATCAGGTGCAGCCCAGAGATGCCTATCTTCACCAGTGAGAGGTAATTAAGCCAAGCCAGCAATTGGGCATTGAATGAAGATGCAGAACTGACCCTGATTTGTGTCCCCTTCCTCCCACTCTACATAACTAGCATTCAGTTAAATAGCTTACATTACTTTGGTCTTATCCCCAACACCTCTAGTTCTACTGTGGCCAGTTGATTCGTTGGCATTTTGAGTGCTAGGTCATTTGGATGCAGATTATGGGAGGAGGTGGGCCAAGAGTCTTGTCTTGTTTCAAGGCTGCAGTGTGCCATCAAAACAGTTCTGTGACCTTTAGACTAGCCCTCTGCCTAGAATAGCCTCCAGTCTTTCTTTATGCAGAATGGCATGGCTAACCCTCCCCACTTTTCCATGTCTGTAACAAAATGTCTACTTCTTGGTGCCATTTAAAGATGCCAGTTGAAGCTGGATACCATGCACATGCTTGGGAGTGTGTGGCTTCCCAGATCCCCTTTACCCGGTCTGTCCTTTCAAAATAAGCCCAGGATTTCCCTCTGTTGCCATGACCTGTAGGTAATGCTGACTCATTGGGACAGATTGTTCTTCCCAAGTCTGTATGGCTTTGAGTTTTGTTTTTCTTTGTGTCTAAACTAGTTCACAAAGTTTGTACTAGGGTTGAGAAGGGGACATAAGTAGGTAGTGCAGGGTGGCAGCAAATGTGTCCACTATGCATGTCCAAGCTGGTTTCTTCTTTGTGCCCTCCCAGGAGGAAGGGGTATGGGTACTAACATGGCACTGGTTGGGGGGATCATTTTTAAAAAGAAGGTGCTTGACACAGGCCTTAAAAAACAAAAAAACAAAAAACAAAACAAAAAAACCCCTCCAAGAATAATTTAATTTGCCTCTTTTAAATTAAGGGAGGTTTTGTAAATCTTCTGTTTTTCCCCTTTCCCATCTCTCCTTTCACATTCATCTTTCATGCTGGTATAGTCCAGCTGGCAAAACCTAATTAAGGCAGTGTATATAACTCTTTCTCTCAACTGGGTTCCTTGTATAATCCTAATGAGACAAGTCGATTGCTACAAATTTATTGCCACAGGGAGCTATATAAGCTGCTCTGGGATGGAGCTGTTTTTTTTGGCAACCTACGTCCTATTGTGCCATACATTGCTTTTCTCCAAGGTTATCTGCATCACTCCTAGTAGAGAGCTGTGCAGAGGGAGCCTTGCTGTTCAGTAGGCTTCTTTTGATGCAACAGGCACAAATGGAGTTTTGAGAAGTGCCTGCTCCCTTGTGTGGTTTTATGGTGACTATTCTGGGGTTCAGGGTCATCCTTAACTACTGCAAAAAACAGATGCAGTGAAGGTTGCCAGCTTCAAGAATGAAGGGTTTACCTTCCTGCCTTGTGCCCTCTTCCTTGCTGATGCAGGCTATTCCTTTGCAGGCATTCAATGGGCGTCTGCAGCATTCAGTGTAGTCCTCACAGGGAGAATCTTCTGGCTACAGGAAGGTGAGTCCCTTTCAGCTGCTCTTTATCTGATATTCCTCAGCCACCTTGGTCTTTGCGGTTTACGACTGCTTCCCCAGGAGCTGTTCTTGTGGGGAAATAGAGGAGGAAACACATTTGTGTGTTTGTGGTTGGGGGTTGGGTCTTGTTTTTGCTGCTCCTGTGCTCTGTATTCTCTGAAAAGCATTTGGTATCTGCATGTTTACCTGTTTACCAGCTATGACGAGCACATTCTGCTGTGGGACACTAGAAACATGAAGCAGCCATTGGCAGACACCCATGTTCAGGGGGGAGTTTGGAGGCTGAAGTGGCACCCAACGTGTGAGCACTTACTGCTGGCAGCCTGCATGCATAATGGATTCAAAATCCTTGACTGTCAAAGAAGTTTGGGTAAGCTTTCAACAGAGCAGGAAAAGATGTGCTTTTCCTCTTCCACAGTGCTTTGCTGGTCATATTCCCTAGTGCCAGATGAAAGGGGCCAGTAGGTGCTATTGCACTGAGTGATGGAAATACAGTAATGGTATTAAATGTCTAATAATTATTGGGGATTGGCTAGGGGGTGTTGGTGCTCATAGCAATAGTAAAGAAACATCTTGGAGTCCTGGCTGGGTAGAGGTTACTCATACTCAGGGTTAAACCAATTGCTAGTCTTGGTGTCAGTGTGTTGATATAAGAGATGAACAAATTGAACAAATCTGTCATGGCACCAATGCTTTGAGCCCCTGCCGTGACAGATTTGTTCAGTTTTTTTCATCTCCCATATCAACACACTGTTGGTGTTGATGGCTTTAGAGGAGCTGCACTTCACAAGTAATCTGATGGAACCTGTGATGTGTACACCTCTGCTAGGAACCTAGAGAGAGTCTAAGTGACTCATTCAAGGTCTCTCAGGATGTCAAAGGTAGGACAGAAATTAATGGCAATTTAGGGCATACAATGGTGTTTTTGTTTTTTAATAGTGACCCTAAGTTTGTCAGGGGTGGCTTTTGGCTCCAGTTGTATATGAAGAGCCAGTTTGGATGGTCTTTTGGACTAAACATCTCTTACATTATTGCTTGCAACCTCAAGGGATTGGATTTGGTGGCCTGGGGGTTCTCTTCCAGTCCTATGTCTTTATTAGGTGCTTCCTGGTAACTCCGGGAAGTGTATCCTGAGCTGACAAATGTCTCCTGAGCAGCTGGCGGTTGCCTCAAACATGAAGAACCCTCCAATTATCCTAATCCAAAATGGCAGTAGAAAAAGCTCTGCACAATGTGTTTGTATTAATTATAGGGCTGTCACATCCCTTAATCAGGCCTTGATGGGTTTTGACAGCTTTGTGTAAAACTGATTTACCTGATGCTTCTCTGAGCCTTTTTTAGTCCTTCTTATACAAAGCCTGTACACGCATACTGATCCTCTTCTTCCAACTGTTCAGTGAGCTGAGCCAAGGTGAGGATAGCAAGAGGAAGCTGGCTGGGAAAGCTTCCTTCCACCATTGCCTCATTTCTCAGATGTATCTAATTCTTCCTACTGTGTAAAGGAGAATAGTAACACATAGGGTGGTGTGGGGGAATACTTCCTACATAATGTAGGTAGTGTTAGACCAGCTTATAGATGGGTTGTGACAGACTGGGCTTCACAACCAAATTTCTGTGTATTCATTTTTAGCTGAAAACGCTGACGAATGCACCATTCTGTCGTCTTACGTCTTGCATAACTCCTTGGCTTACGGAGCTGATTGGTCAAGACTGTCTCCAAGGGATCTGCTGGGTGTAAGACAGGACCCTTCCCCAACTGTCTCTTCTGAGGGGGTAGGGGCAAGAGCAGATCCAGGAGTCAAGAAGCTGGATCTCCAAGTCCAGAACCTGAAGATAGTTTATGAATCTCCTACAGCTACTTTTGATGTAGTGTTAGATGAGGATGGTGAAAACTCTGTGTCACAGGTCAAAGCAGAGATGGGGCCAGACCCTCAGTTTTTGCTTCCTGATGGAAGGGGATTGGACACACAGTGTGACCAGGCTGAATTGGCAAAGGCTCAAAGAGAGAGCAGCATCATAGCGACATGTTCATTTTATGATAACATCCTACACATCTGGAAATGGGAAACCAGCCAAACTAGCCCTTCAGAGTAAAGTATTAAATATTAATCCCAGTCTGAGAACATACATTCACAATGACATCATTGGAAAGCCTGTCGGATGGAAGAAACAGAAGATTTTTCTCTGTGAAGAGCTAAGCCTACAGCCTATGCCCAGTCTCACTTCCATTAGGGTTTTCCAGCTTTTTTTTCTTTTTGCCAGGGAGCTCAGGGTTCTTGAACATTTGCAGACATGCACTGTTTAATTTAAAGCAATTAGAATTTCACTATTTTGTCTTCAACTCTGACTAAACCAAAATTTTAGTTTCTGCCTTGCTGGGGGATGCAGTTAAACACTGGTGCATCTGCTTAATTGTCTACTGCTGTGATTTGTGGTGGGGCTGGTATATTTCAAGGGATACTTTATTCTGACATGAAATTCATCTCTCAATGGCTGTCTGCTGTTTGTAAGTCTTATTTGCTATTCCCTAGAGATGTGGTTGGATGCCATCTGCCTTTCTCCTTCCACAAAACAAAACTGAACTTTGCTGCAGCACTGAACTTGTTCAAGTTCACAAATTATTCAATAACCAGATTTTTTTTTCTGAACTTCCAAGGGAGTTCCCATCTGGTGTTAAGGCTTGTGCCTTACTTCACTGTATGATCTGTTTGTAAACTAGCATGTGCCACAAGAAGATACTATGCAAAGTTAGGCATGCTGATAATGGCATCTGCTTATAGTGACCTTCATACAGAGAAATCTCTTCTGGAAGAAGTGGTGTACATGATGCAACAGAATGCTAGTGCAGCTCCAGTGAACTGTATTCTGAACTGTTATTGTGAGGATTCTGCAATCTCTGCTTGGTTGTTTTTGTTTTGTGGTGGTGTTTTTTAACACACCTTCTGCATGAATTACAAGTTAATTTTATTGCCATCATTAAGCACTGCTAGTTTTGCCTAGATTATACAGTGAGTTTCTCTGTATTAGAGCTGCAGCAAAGACTATTAAAATGCCAGCCTGCACCAAATCTGTATCCTCTAATATTCCTAGGGAGAGACCTGAAATTCAGGAGCAACCCAGGGTTGACAGCTGTTTCAGATTTAAGGTCAAAAGTCTCCAAATGCTGTTAGTAACGTTCATTGGTGTCTTACAAAAATTGCTTCTGGCATTAATAATGCAGTCCTCATTCCTTCCTAGGATGGCTCCAGAACTCTACAAGGTTGAGCTGTAAGCTTTTTACTGTGACACATGAGCAAGACATTACATTGCCTCTGTGTTTCTAATTATCTCTCTCCAAAAAACAGCTCAAATTGCTTAAGTCATTTCTAGTTTGTATGGTTTATCTTTGAGAGTTATGATTAGTTTTTTTCAAAGGGAAGAAACACCAGCAACAAACACAGTATTTGTAACAGTGAACTGAAGTCCAGAACTGACTTATCTCCTTACTGCTGCAGGGCCCTTTTTCTCAAGTGTATACGTGTAGTTTGGAACAGCATCTTTTCAAATACTGTTATATGAAGATGCATATCAGCATTGTGAATAAAAGAGCTTTTGTTAAACTTAAAAAAAAACCAACCTATTTTTGGATGTTTCTAAAATAAAAGCAACTTTAAATGTTACATGTTTCCTTTTATTTATAGTAGTTGACAAATACTTTATATAGAGCAATGGTTCTGAACCAGGGGTATGTGAAGCCTCATCAGGGGGTATGTTGAGATGTATTTCATACATTGTCTAACACAGGTCAAAGGGCCTAAACAATTAATTTCCCATTGAAAGGGGGTACATGAAGTCTCACTCTGAGACCAAGGGGTACGTTGACTGAAAAAGGTTTAGAACTGCTGATATAAAGGGAACTTGTGGAAATATGTTGGTTCTGCTCTGCAGCATCTCTGCTGCTGGAGTTGAGACATGCTGCTTGGAATGCTGTTGCCAAGTAGATGCTCATAAAGCAACACCTTCTTTCTGTTTGTTCTCTAAAGAGGTTTTTATTATACATAAGGGACTCTGCCTCTGAGTACCAAGACACGAGAAGAAAGTGTTTAGAGATTAATTTGCACCCAACGGGAACATTTTGAATTTAAAAGAAAAAGCAGTGGGTGGCAATGTGAATACTAAGTTTGGAATTTAGAATCCTGGATATGCACGTGTGCAAAGTTTCGTTTGGGGAGGGGGAGTAGTAAGCACCACTCCTGTCACTGTGTCAGTCAGACTGACTCGGTCTCATTTTGGCAGCTGTTGCATACAGCCTGTGAAATTTTTTTAAGTGTTGCTGTTCTGAGGTCAAGCAAAAGTGACAGCCTTTTTTGTTGGAATCATGATTTTTACTGATCATGAAAATGCACGCAGGCACCTGAATAAACCATGGGGGATGCCATGGCACCCACGGGCACAGTGTTTGGAACTGCTGCTCTCTATTATGTTTGTTCTAAGCTGTCCACATCCCCCATGAAGTGTGGGACCCAAAACTGGACATGAATAAACTAGGAAGTGTGGCTTGGCCCTTGCCTGCAACAAATATTTGATATTAAAGTCTGACCTGTGTCTACTCAGGAATTAGTTAAATTACTTTATTACCATTATTTTTGGAATATCAGGCTTTACACAGGCCAACTTGGTGTCTATTAAAAGCTGATCCTAGTGAAAAGGCCAGCATTCTTCCTTCTGCAAGCCACATCCCTCCATTCAACATGGAAACAGTGGCAAAGTGTGCAGTCTTTAAACAGCTGCAGCCAGGCATAGGTGCTCTCAGCGCACGTAGTTCTTAGGGTACAGCTGGAAGAGCTTGCCCTCCTGTGTGGGCTCAAACCCATACTTCTCCAGGTTATGAGGGTCAAAGGTCCCTCCTTTCACATCCTTCTCGATCTGTGGGGCAACGAGGTCCATGAAGAGCTGCTTGGCGGTCAGCACGGGCTCTTCCCCCTCAGGAGCCTTGTAGGACACGTAGGGCTTGAGCTTGAACCCCGCCAGGTCTGGGACCACAAATTCGGGGATCATCTCCTGGATCAAGCGAAACCTGTGGCCCTTGACTTTCAAGCCCATCCCCTTGATGCCCCGGCCCTTGTTGTGGAACCGCGAACCGCGCTTGCTGGTGAACTCGGCCATGCGGTCCGCGCCCCGCACCAGGCCCCGCGTCAGCTCGGCGAGAAGCCCCATCCCGGCGGCTGCAAAGACAAGAGCGTGAGCGGGGCTGGGGCGTCCCCCTCGGCGGCTCCCCCAGCCATGTGAAGGGGGCCCACTCCGGTCCCGCCCAGCCCCAGCCCCAGCCCCAGCCCCCCCCGCCGCGCTGCCCAACCTTCCTCTCGCCTCCCTGGGTCGCAGGAACCGTCTCACTCTCCAACACCGATCCCTCTGATTGGCTAGCGGGGCGGCCACCCATCCCGGCCCTTCCTCTGTTCTCTAGCCAAACAGCGCGGAGAGTCTTGGAGCGGGGAGCGCGCTGGCCAATCAACGCGGAGAGATCCGGCCGAGGTGGGCGGGGCTGCCCTCCCGGGGAGCGGACGCGGGAGGAGGGACGTGTTTGTCTCTTGACCCCTGACCCCTCCCGGGGGAACCCTTCACCTTCAACCCCGTCGCCCAGTCTGGGGCCC